GAGTCACTAACCTGGTTGTAAAGTTCCGACCGAGCCCAGAGGAAGGAGTGGAATCATGCTGGAGGATTTTCCACAGCACGCGGCAGACGCCGCCCAGAGAGTTCAAGGAGCTGAAGCCAATATGGCTGCAAAGCCAGGTGACGAGCAGAATCCAGCAGATGAGGAAGAGCAGGAGTTTCCGGAAGGAGAAGCCAAAACCGGTGTCAGTGAGATAGCAGAAGTCCAGGCCAGATGTTCATAGATCCGAAGTGGTGCCGTAGGGAAGCTGGGGTTGGGAGACAGATCCAAGGTCGTAAGCAGGCAGAAACCAGAAGGAGTCTGAAGACAGGTCAGTCAAACAGATCAGAATAGCGGCAGTGGAAGGAGAAACTAGTCAGGATCAGGCAACCGGAGTAACAATCTGGGCAGCTAGCGAACCCTGACCTACGACTCGAATAATCTGGCACTGATGGCTGGGACCAAACAGTTTAAGTTGAAGCTGGAGCAGATGGATCCGATGAAAGCTTACGAAAACTTGGTGGACCTAGGCAGGTGGATGGAATGAAACCAATAATCCAGTCATCAGTGCCAAGATCATGACACAAAGACTAAGCAGAATGTCTCTCACCAGTGCTTCACCATGTTTATCGAATGCAAGCAGAATTGTTTTAGCTTCTAATATTAGACGGGACTGAAAGGATGTTGCGATGTAGGTTCGTTGCGCTTAAAGGTGTCACCTAAATTAGCGTGTCACCCGGATCTGATGTTCCCCTGTATGCTGATTGGAGCTGTTTGATGTAGGTGGGGGGGAGCATTTCCACAGCCACTAAAAGCTGATTGTTCACAGGTTTATATGCAGCTTTGGTCAGTGGGAGCGCGGTATAAGTTTCAGTTGTATTGGTTTATTATTGCCAAAAATTTTTAAAATGTGTGTTTGTGTTTTTATTTCTGTGTTTTATGGGCCATATTTAGGGTAACCGTTTAATAAAAGCAATAATCTAAGAAAAGTCCTTGGTTTGCGCCTTGCACTGCCATTTTAAAAGTAAATTTTCAGATCATCTGGATAACGTTTAACATTGTTGCAATTTAAAATAGATCCATGCTAATGTGTACAAGAAGAAAAGCAATTCAGTTCGGTTTATTTGTATAGAGCCAATTCATCGGTAAAATATTCTTTTTAAATGTTTCAATAATTGTTTTTGCTCCAGTCTGTCCTGCTTACTATATACGCGATGTGCAACTCCAAAGGGAGTCTTTTCCCGCGAGATTAACAGATTTTATTTTGTATTTTCCCCCAAAGCGGGGGAACTTTGTAACCACATCTCTTTTCCTGTCAGACCCATGAAATTGCTGCTTAGTCCGACTCAAATAAACCTGGGCTCTATCTCAGTCGGAGCTACGCTGCCCCCTGCAGGAAATCGTGCTGGGTGTGATCATCCCCATTGACTTTCAATTAGCTTTAAACGCCACAACCTCGTCTAACCCAATTTTCTGTCGGATTGGACGCAAAATTGGATTCGGTGTGTTCTGGCCTCCAAATTCTCCATCAGAATAAAGCTGTGACTCTGGCTGAGCTGCTGCGAAACTGTTTTATTAGTTCCAGCCTGAAATTTAGACCTGAATTCAGCAGGTGTGTTTTTGCCTTTAGGCGGTTTGACTCTACATTTCACCAGCTTTGCAGGTTCTTTACAAACAGATAATTGAAACT